AGGCGGTGTCCCGAAATGATTTGTACCCTGAAAACACACTCACAGTTTCTTAAGTAATATAAATTTCACAATTTACTTAAGACGAAGTTTTCCACTGACCCATTAGGACAGCGTCTACCTTACTTGGCACACGATGCATGAGATTCTAGAGGATCTCCAAGGGGATCTTTTTCAGACATTCAGTAGGGATCTCTCCAATTGAGCAACAGTGGTAGGAGCAGGCTGTTTCTTGTCAACCATATTACCAAGAATGGACCATATATACATCAGTTGGCTCATGGCGCCCATTATAAACCGATTTTTACGCCTTTTTGTTTATCCGAAGTAAAGGGATGAGGTTATTAGTGCAGGAAATTTCGTACCGTTTTGAAGGAAGTCCAATTTTGCCAAAATCTGCGACTTATTCGGGGACGATACTTCGTGGTGTTGGCAATCGCGGTATTCGGCCATTATGCATTGTTTATGATCAACCGGTGTGATGTGGTTTGTGCGCCTGCTTTTATACACGGTCAATGAAAGACGTTGTTACAGAAAACGTTCAATGCTATTTTCAAAAGAAAGCGACTCTCCCTTTTACTATCACCCAAAGGGCTATCACCAGCGATTGACGTGGACGCCGCTAATAATTAGAAGTGCGCGTTGGCATAGCAACGACATACCATAAATACGGTAACTCTTGTGCATCCCGTATCCTTATCTGATGGAGTCTATGAGGGTTTGCCTGAGTGTGAAGTTGAAACGCCAAGCAAGCAAGTTTTATTACAGCGATTTCATCTTCTTCATAGAGAACGCATGCTAACTTGGCAATTGACGGTCCAAAAAATGCCCCGGCCACCGTCCAGGGTACCATCCGTTTAAAATGCACCCGATTAAATTGTTTACGTGTAGTCATTGACATAAAATAGAAATATAATAGGTGGGAATCATTTATGCAGTCCGCTGGCAGGCCAAAAGAATAGGAATGTCTCCCTATTATATAGGCAGCGTTGCGCAAAGTTCAAGGATGGTATTTATTCCAGTAGAGGTTATGACTGCGTTTTAAGTAACCAGAACGTATAGTATTTTTTCAATCTGAACGCTTAAAATCGATATTAGATTTGGCTCTCTAGATACAACCTGCTAGCTTACACCTTGCTTCCTCTGATTTACATGAAGAAAAAATCGATTTTCAAATGCGACAAGCTCTAATCGGTAAATCTATCGAACTTAGATTGCTCTCCTCTCACAAAAGAACACATACAGATGCGAAAACTTAGTCTAGTAGTGTTATTAGAAGAAGAAAATGCGATCATTGCAACAATAATTTTGCCTTTCTGACGTTGCGGATTCTGTCGAGAATCCTTAATCATAGGTAACCGTAGATTGGAGTGAGACATGCAGTGACCCAATCTGCGCAGCGCTATTAGCATAGTAAACAACCGATATGCAAAGTCATGTAGATTTTCTGTGAAACTTTTAAACCTTTTGACTAATAGTATTATTTGTAAACATATTCTGGGTGCACCAATGACGTTTTCCGGAATAGATTTTTCGACTGAATGAATAATGCAACTTTGTAATTGCGCACAATTGATCGCCTCAATTTCGTCCTCACGTTTCGGGAGACAGGTTAGACAACAGGACGAGTGAGTTCCGTAACCATTCGGTGAGCGCCTATCTACCGTTGTGTATATTCCCGAGGTATCGAGCCCATGACGCTGTGTTCAGGGCGTTGAACTTCTAACTAGCAAGGTTTCGGGTTCGAAACCCAAGGGTCGCCATCCCCTTTGGATTGGGTACGGCTGGCTGATGATGGCTAACAAGCCAGAACTGGTCAATCCAGTCTCCCTTGCCTTTGTCATTAACGCATTTCTGCCTATAGGTTACATAACCTATAATAGTAAACAGAACGCAGTCACTTCCGGCGTGCGATAACAAGTCACTACAAAAAGAGTTGGAGCGTAGCCAGCAGAAATGGCCAAACACGTGAATGACTTACAGGCGAACTCTTTGGGGGATAGGTAGTTGATCCAGAAACATATCTCGCGATAGCTCGTTCAAGCGATATATGTAATTGATCTTTTGACCAAATTTCTTGCTACAAGGGAACACAGTTAATAAGGTAGTTTCGGATAAAACAGAAATATAATTTAAACACACTTTTTAATGCACACGACCTACTGACTTTCGCAGCAGGGTAATAAACGAGCAGAAGATTATTTAGGTCATGATGAGGTCGTAGAGCAGGAGAAACTGCTTTAGGCGGATATCTATTCCTGCAGTAAATGCGAGTAGTCTTGCAATTTTAACTGTAGACTGCTGGGAACTTATTTTCGATAATTTCGATGCAGAAAATGTGAAAAATTCATAAAATTAAATAAACCTCAAATTTAAAGTCGCACCCAAATAAAATCAAGCACACTGCATCAACTTCCTCTTATGCAAATATTAGCTAAGTGAACTGTTGCATAAACCTTCTCGCACAACTGCCGAAAGGAATTAGCGTTGTCAGATTGCATAATTTTTCGTTTACAATAGAGAGCAACAGAACGTAAGTCCATTACTGAATGTCAAACAAAATATATACTGAACTAAAAAAAGTACGCTTTGAAATTCAATCGCCAGAGCTCGAAAAGGGTTGCTAACCAAGAGCGTACATTTTCTCTTATTAAAATGTATGTAAAACCTCCTGTGTGTTAATCTCTCTGACCAAAAACGATTCAACGTTAAGCCGTTGACACAATCGAAGTTTCCTACAGGGCATGTTTACTGCTGAACAGTAGCACTCAACGTTTCACTTTGATGGTTGCAGCCTCACAGGATATTTGAACCAAGGGGTCACTCACAGAGAATTTGCAAAGAATAAGAAAGAATTTACTTGATAGCAGAAAATATCAGTTATGAAGAAGACGCAAAATACGCGCTGAATAGTACAATTTTCGTCTATGCCTATAGAGCTTGAATATATTGACCTGTACCAAGTTCGAAAATTGGTTTCTAAGGCAAATTAAAAGTTTAACTTTCAAAAATCGTACGCCAGGGAGGGAGGACCACTGATGAGCTGGACTCCTCGCAGCTGTGTCAAGCAGCGGCAGAATACCGGTGAAACACATGTCTAGGCTTTTTAGCCAGAGCCCGGCCTGCTAGAAGCGTAAGTTACAACATCAGTATATACTACTACAGTCTGCCTGTCGTCCGCATTTTAAATTACGCAGTGGTTGACGGGTTTCAGGCCAAATATACACTTACAATTTCGATCGATGTCTATATACCTTAAATATACTGATGTATGCCACGAACAGAAATTAATTTCTAAGGAAATTAAATAGCTGAACTTTAAAAATCAGTATATCAACCAGAAATCAAATCAGGAAAGCTGGGGGTACCCATTGATAAGCCGAACTCCTTGCAGCTGTGTCAAGCAGCGGCAGAATACCGTCGAAACACATGTCTGGGCCTTTTAGCTAGTACCTTGGCTGCCAGTAGGGTAAATAATGCTACAAGTTATACGACTGTCTGTGGGTTGGCGGTTTGTGAATATTACTCGGTTATCTAACGCAGTGGCTGATGGGCTTCAGCCCAAATCTCGGTCTGTGCCTGTAACCTTTAAATATTCTGATCTGTACAAAGTTCGAAAATGAATTTCTAGGGCAATTAAAAGGTTGAAAAGGAAGTACCTAATAATTGGTTTAAATATTTTCAGAGTTATCTCTACGAAGTTAGTAGGATGAACCAGATAGAGGGCCTTGAGATTCTTTTTGAAATTCCGATCAAAGCCTCGATAGGCTTGAATCAGCCATTTCACTGGAGGTCGGTTCTGACTTGAGAATCCATAGTGAAGGTAGACAAGCGAGTAGTCCATGGCTACGTACTGTTCCAGTGTCTTCTTTATGTACCTGGACGGGAGAAAGAGGGTGAAAATAGGGTTTTCAAATCCAGCCCAAAAATAAATTCATACGAGGAATGACTTCTGAGAAAAGTACGGGATCTCAAGATAAAGGCAGAGGTTACGGCCTAAAATACCCAAACCTAGTATTCCGCTACGACATATTGTCGCCTTACAGGACAACTCTATCATCTAAAATTTAAAAGAACTCTTACTGGAGTTAACAGAAGGGCTAAATAAAATGAAACCTCGGTCACCGAGTTTAATGCGTTCCGGCACTGAGCTCATCATTCGAAACGTAGTCGATCAAACTGCATCCTTTCACTGACTGGCTGCAGAAAACCGTGGACCCAGCCCCTGGGAGTAACATTCAGCGGCGGATAGACGATAGTTCGACCGTAGATTTCGACGATATCCACTATGAACTTCAAGAAGTTGAACCACGCGGTGACTGTGGCTGAGTATAGTAAAAGGCAAACACACCGGGTCTACCCCACTCTCTGACCACCCTAGCACCGGGAACTGGTTGTCAAGACAGAGTCAAGAAGGCCGGAAATGCGGGAGGGCGCAGACGGCTAGCGCGACAAAATCTCAACACGCGTAGCAAACAGCACGTTTCTCTAGGTATGCTCCCGACAGGGAGCGCCATAAAGGCCAAATTTAGAAGGAGCC